GACCACAGAACTGTTTCGTCCATTTAGTACTTTATAGAACATCTGACAAAGAGAACGACGAGAGAAAGGAAGGGGGGCAAGGCCGCGTGTAACGATCATGAAAGTTTTTTTCTTTTTTTTCCTTCTTTTTAGTAATTTTCTTTGATTAATGTTTTTCTAGGATGACGTCTATGACATGCATGACCACTTCTTGCAGTATGTGACTACAAGTAGCGCGCATCCTCACCTCCAAGAACAGCATATCGTGTACACGACCGGCACGGACAAACGAGTGTCCTGGCCTGGGAAGCGAGCCGAGTACAAACATGAGTACGTTCAACCACCGGCTGCTCACTCGAGAGACCATCAGAAGTGGGTAGTGGCCAATCCTGTGCATCAATATAGGTGAGTATCATTATCCTCGACATGATTGTCCACATTTCTAATCAAAGCATGCACCGTAATCATGAGACGATCTTTAAAATGATTTTTGCGACACGATACGTTTCGCGACGGAGCATGTTCTCGTCAAATAATCGGCATGCATGCGAGAGCTCTATCTCTTAAGAAAGAACGAGTGAGCCAACGTGACGTGCAGTTAACAAGGTTCTGGGCAAGTAAACGGCATGTGAATCGGTATTAGCCGATACTATAGAACAAATTTTGTTTAAATTCATTTTTCTCTTTTGTACGTCGAAAAACCGGATGAGAAGCTTACGAATCTATTAAGAGTGCACATCCGTTAAATTTTCTATCTCTCCTTTAAAGAGACGTATTGCAGTGAGTAAACAAGGCATGTGGATCGCATAACAAAGGGATGGATTTTGTTTTGCGTTTTGTAGGCAGAGCCAAGTAGTAGGTACGGCAGCCCATCCGGGCCATACCCACAGTCATCACGGGCATCCGGCTCACCTGAGTCCCGGCGGCAGCGGCGGCGGCAGGAGTCCCACTGGAGGGCCTGTAATAGGAAGTGCCCAGCATTTGGGACAGCCTCTCTACCAAGAATACGCTCACGTGCGCTCGAGAGCTCACGCGGTGCCACCTCCCGTATACGTTACCGCGGCACCTTCGCAGGCTGCTACTGCTATCCAACAACAACAAGTGCCCACGTATCAGGGATTCACACCCGGGTGGGTAATTAGAGAACTAGTTAATGCACGCATACGTTCATTCATCTTTTGTTCTAACGTTAAATTTATGTCGTCTGTACTCCCAAAGTAGACTTGCGATTGTGAATTCTTTCTTTCCTAAATATTACGTTTCATCGCATGTATAATAAGTCGAAGCGTCAATTCGCAGGAAATTGACTGCTTGGTTCTCACACGTTATATATTATAATTTCTTTTAAAATTTAGCTTTAATTCTAAGTAGTTACGTAACAGAAAATTAGTATATTATTATATAGTAGTATATAGTAGTATATAGTAGTATATAGTAGTATATATTATACTATATATTATATATATACTACTATTATATAGTAGTATATATTATATATATAGTAGTATATATTATATCATATTAGTATTCTTTTCAACTTATTTACTCAAACTTACAAGAATATTTTTTTTTATAATATAGGATAAAATATAAGGAAATTTGCATTATATTAAATGCAAAAAGTTATTTTATATCAACAAAAATTTCTTT